TTGTACTTGAGTAAAAGTAGAAGTACACAGATCTTGTACTTTAGTAAAAGTAGAAGTACTCAGATCTTGTACTTGAGTAAAAGTAGAAGTACTCAGATCTTGTACTTGAGTAAAAGTAGAAGTACTCAGATCTTGAGTAAAAGTAGAAGTACTCAGATCTTGTACTTGAGTAAAAGTAGAAGTACTCAGATCTTGAGTAAAAGTAGAAGTACTCAGATCTTGTACTTGAGTAAAAGTAGAAGTACTCAGATCTTGTACTTGAGTAAAAGTAGAAGTACTCAGATCTTGTACTTTAGTAAAAGTAGAAGTACTCAGATCTTGTTCTTGAGTAAAAGTAGAAGTACTCAGATCTTGTACTTAGTACTCAGAACTTGTACTACTTTAGTAAAAGTAGAAGTACCAGAGTGTAGGAATACTCTGTTACAGTAAAAGTCCTGCATTCAAAATGTTCCTCAAGTGAAAGTAGAAAAGTATTCTCATCAAAATATAGTGAAAGTAGCGACAGTAAAAGTAGTCATTGTGCAGATTGGTCCATTTCAGAATAATATATATGATATGTTTTATAATGATTGATCATGAAAGTGTTCTCAAAGCTGGTAAAGGTGCAGCTAGTTTGAATGACTTTGTAAACTGCAGGAAAATAGTAATTAGTGGCCTTTTAGTTTTTTGTATAATGACACCAGTCCAGTACAATTAAAGTAGTTTTTACTCCCGGCAGCTGCCTCTCGAACACAAAGAGCCGAGTTCAGAGGGAACCTGCAGGTTTTAGGCACCGCTCAGGAATCTGGGTAAGAGTTAGGAGGTGTAACTCTATCAGAAGAGGCCGCGGCTGCACAGGCGAGAGGTTATCAATGGGGGGCTTTTATAAAAATACGGAAGGATGTTATGTAACGCTGCAGCTTGAAGAACAAGTGCTAACAGTTCCTCTTTTTAGCCAGAGGATGCAGGGATGGAAGTAGGGCTGCAGATACAGCATGTGGATTCACCTGTGGGTATTTTACCTCAGTTCATCAAATAGCTTTAGTGTTCAGTGTGTCCCAAAGCTCAAGGTGGAGTCCCTTAAATGTCTTGATTAATCCACAACTTACATATATTCAGTTTAAATTGTGTACTTTTACTCCACTACATGAATTTGAGTTACTTTACAGATTTGGGTTAATTATGTGAAATATCATCATCTCTTAAATCAGACTTTAGTTACACCTGGACCCTCTGGTACTTCTACTTTTACTCAAGAACAAGATCTGAGTACTTCTACTTTTACTCAAGAACAAGATCTGAGTACTTCCACTTTTACTCAAGTACAAGATCTGAGTACTTCTACTTTTACTCAAGTACAAGATCTGAGTACTTCCACTTTTACTCAAGTACAAGATCTGAGTACTTCTACTTTTACTCAAGATCTGACTACTTCTGCTTTTACTCAACTACAAGATCTGAGTACTTCTACTTTTACTCAAGTACAAGATCTGAATACTTCTACTTTTACTCAAGTACAAGATCTGAGCACTTCCACTTTTACTCAAGTACAAGATCTGAGTACTTCCACTTTTACTCAAGATCTGAGTACTTCTACTTTGACTCGAGTACAAGATCTGAGTACTTCTACTTTACTCAAGTACAATATCTGAGTACTTCTACTTTTACTCAAGTACAAGATCTGAGTACTTCCACTTTTACTCAAGTACAAGATCTGAGTACTTCCACTTTTACTCAAGATCTGAGTACTTCTACTTTTACTCAAGAACAAGATCTGAGTACTTCCACTTTTACTCAAGATCTGAGTACTTCTACTTTTACTCAAGTACAAGATCTGAGTACTTCTACTTTTACTCAAGAACAAGATCTGAGTACTTCCACTTTTACTCAAGTACAATATCTGAATACTTCTACTTTTATTCAAGATCTGAGTACTTCTACTTTACTCAAGTACAAGATCTGAGTACTTCTACTTTTACTCAAGTACAAGATCTGAGTACTTCTACTCAAGTACAAGATCTGAGTACTTCTACTTTGCTCAAGTACAATATCTGAGTACTTCTACTTTTACTCAAGTACAATCTCTGAGTACTTCTACTTTTACTCAAGCACAAGATCTGAGTACTTCTACTTTAGTCAAGTACAAGATCTGAGTACTTCTACTTTTACTCAAGTACAAGATCTGAGTACTTCTACTTTTACTCAAGTACAAGATCTGAGTACTTCTACTTTTACTGAAGTACAAGACCCGAGTACTTCTCTCGCCGCTGATGTGTTTTACCGCTAAGAGCCAGGTATACACTGCGTGTGGTCATGTTATGGTTAGCATGGTTTTAAACAGCAGTGTGTAAACGGTTGTTAGCCAGGTTAGCGTTATTTTGTATTTAAAACTCATGTCAAATGTACCGAACGGAGCTAACGGCACTTTTTTTACACAAGCTACTGTATACACGTTTCCACTTTCCATAACAATACTGCGTACATTCTATTATCCTGAGTACTTTGCAATAATAATCTTAACGTATAACATCTTGTTTTTCTTAAACTGTGCTTATGTTTAAACCTGCCTAGCAACCAATCTGATTTCTGATGTCTTTCTTTCTAACGGCTAACCGCTAACAGTTAGCCGTTAGCCACATGTTAGCTCCGCGGCCGCTCTTACAAAAAAGCTCCACAGCTTCACGCGGGCAGCTAACTGCTAACACAAATTATATTTCTTACCTGTATATGTTTCGTGCAGGTGAGACACCGTCTGTTAGGTTGATTCACGAAGGATGAGCTGCTGATGTGAGGCGGTAAAAACGACAGATTAGCTTCTTAGCTCCTCTCCGCTCCAACAAAGAAAACAAAATCACGTCGAAGGAGGTATCGCGATACTTCCTCTTCTTCTCTGATGTCATGGGAGAATATCGCCACCTGCTGTTTTGTTGTGTTTTGTATCTGTATAGTTACAGTAAAGAAAGTACGTTGCAAACAAGGACAACAAAACAACAACTCGAAATTATCTGTAGTATTCCTTTTTATGCTGGACTACTAAAGATACATGTTTTATTTTGGGGAATGTTATTTAATACAAATAAGTGTATTCTGCAAATGATTTACACAATTCTGATTTTGTCTTTATTTTAATAAGAGATATAATATGGCAAAATTGACGATAACTCTCAGATATACAAAATATATATATATTGTTAATGTGGTAATAAAACATTATTTCTTTGCAAAAATATAGTTTATTGTGAATTATTCACATCAATGTTTGAATATGTATTCACTGCAGGACTAACTCTGTTTTCTGTAAATGTTATTGTCTGTCTAATGTGGATTCTTCTACAGCACTAACATTCTTTTTTTTGTGTATTTTATTGTGTGTGTAATGTTTTTTTCTATTGCAGGTTAAAGATTATTTTTAATATATTTTACAGTGTGTTTAAGGTTATTTTCCCATGGCAAAACTACAATTATTTTTGTTATATTCCACAGTATGTGTAATTTAGTTTTTCTTCTGCAGGACTAATATTATTTTTAAATTATTTTATAAAGTGTTTAATGTTTTGTTTTACTTCTGGAGGACTAATATTATTTTAAATATATTTTATTGATTTTCATAGATTTTTTTCCTCTTCAGGACTAACATTTTTGTGTACATATTCCAAAGTTAATTTATATAAAAACAGTCTGGTGAAATGTGATACACTTCCAGCCCTGTGTGTGACGTCATAGCGTCGCCTCGCTGCATGTAAACAAAGCGCCGCGGCTGATTGCGGTTCTGATGGAGACAAACTGAGAGGAATCGGATAGAAAAGTGGATGAAGTTCGTTCTTTTTGATCCGGAGCCGATGGCAGTGTGATGGCAGTGTGATGGCAGTGAGATCAGACTGAACCAGAACCAGCAACATGTCTATGGAAGACCCGTTCTTCGTCGTCAAAGGGTCAGAACCGAGCTAATGCTAATGCTAACAGCAGGGTAGCTTCTAGTTTTACCATGTAGACGGAGGAGAGCTGATCAATGATCTATCAAAACAGCAGGTTATTAACAGGGAATAACAGCAGGCTAACTGCTAAGCTAATGTTAGCTCCCGGTGTGTTGCGAGTGAGTTAGCCGGTTAGCATGTTGCTATGATGTTAGCACTGAGTTACAGTCAGTGTTCAGGGTCACAATATTGTCCGTTAATTACAGAGATAATATTCCTGAATAACAGTAGAAACACTCTGGAAGAGGACCTGCATTCAAAATGTCCCTTCAGTAAAAGTAATGAGTATTCTCAGCAAGTAAACGTAGTGTTACTCGTTATGTTACTACTATGTGTAATATGTCTATATTACTGTTGATGTATGTCTGTCTGTCTATTTAGAAACACTACCATCACCTTATAATTACAGAATGTTATATTATTCTGTTTTCAACACTAGCGAATACTTATGAAAGCATTTTAATATTGCACTTTACTGATTAAGATATAATTGTAAACATTGTACAGTTATGGATACATTATTATTCCTACATCATATAATATGTGTATATCAAATTAGTTTGTAATGTATAAAGTTACCAGTAATGTAAACTGATAGATTAAAGCAGTGCAGATTACAAATTCACCTCTGAGATTTACTGCAGTAGAAGTATACAGTAGCAGAAAACTGAAATTCCTCAAGTACAAGTCCCTCGAAATGAATGTCCTTCATTTACCTGCTGTCTAATTATCAATATATAACATTAAAAGTTCAGTGAAATAAAAAACTAGATGCCTATTTCAGGCACAACAGGCTTAGTCAGCCAATAGGACCGATAGCTTTAGGGCTAACGAAGATAACTAGCTAACCACTTCTGTCATGCAGAAGGCAGTGAACGCATCACAGATGTATTATGATGTTAGTTACAGGGAGGTTCAGAAGACAGTGAACGCCTCACAGATGTATTATGATGTTAGTTACAGGGAGGTTCAGAAGACATTGAACGCCTCACTGATGTATTATGATGTTAGTTACAGGGAGGTTCAGAAGACAGTGAACGCCTCACAGATGTATTATGATGTTAGTTACAGGGAGGTTCAGAAGACATTGAACGCCTCACTGATGTGTTATGATGTTTGTTACAGGGAGGTTCAGAAGGCAGTGAACGCATCTCAGATGTGTTATGTTTGTTACAGGGAGGTTCAGAAGGCAGTGAACGCATCTCAGATGTGTTATGTTTGTTACAGGGAGGTTCAGAAGACACTGAACGCCTCACTGATGTGTTATGTGTGTTACAGGGAGGTTCAGAAGGCACTGAACGCCTCACTGATGTGTTATGTTTGTTACAGGGAGGTTCAGAAGACACTGAACGCCTCTCAGATGTGTTATGTTTGTTACAGGGAGGTTCAGAAGACACTGAACGCCTCACTGATGTGTTATGTGTGTTACAGGGAGGTTCAGAAGGCAGTGAACGCA